AATCAAGGTCACTGATTTCAAGGCACCTTAGAAAAAGAGCCAAACATGGTAAGAGTATGGGGGCAGGAGAGGTGCCTTCTTCATCAGGGCCAGGATAAAGTGTTGACTCACCTAACAAGCTCCGAAAGCCTTAGGGAAATCAGGAGGGAGGGGATCTGTCCTTGGACCCCTTCCCTTGCCTTCCTAGACAGGAACATTGTTTTGAATGTTGCCCCCAAGCCTGACTTTTTTTTAGGTTTCCCTCTCTTGCTGACTTTGGGCTAGGGGGACAAGGAGTAATTGGGTGGGAGGGCCAAGGCTGAGACTAAGCGTGACACTCTGGAAGGATCTTCCAGGTCTGCCCCAGCTTTTCACCCACTTTCTGAGATGCCCTCCTGAAGTCTTGTGCCTGTTTCTTGGCGGGACCTCTGCGTCTGTGACACCTACTCCATGACCCCTGGGGGCTGAGGGTAAAGGAAGAGATGATACTTCAGGGAGCAGAGAATGTAATCTGCTAGTACTCAGGCATAGCTGGGCCTGCCCTTGCCCCTTCAGGTCATCAGTGATGGCGTACCCCTGGTGCTAGCCCTGGTCCCCCACCGGCAGCCCCACTCCTTCATCACCCAGGGCTCCCCAGACCTGTTGGTAAGTGCATTGTGCAGAGCCATACCTCAGCTCCACTCCCCCTCTGCCTCTGCCCCTGACCCACCTCTGCCCCCTCCTGCCCGCAGGTGACCGTGAGTGCCAATGGGCTGCTGGGCACTCACAGCTGGTTGCCCTATGACCGCAACATAAGCAACTACTTCAGCTTCAGCAAAGACCCCACGATGGGCAGTCACAAGTAGGACAGGGCTGTGGGTGGGGTGGGCTACAAATTCCCTGTACTCTGAATTATTCCCCTACCTAATCAGAATGTAGGCCAGCTGCAAGGGAAAGGTCTGGCCGGGCTCCATGAGGCCTGGGTCTCTTCCTTGTGGCCTGGCCTCACCTGCCATCCCCTCACTGGGTCAGGACGCAGCGACTGCTGAGTGGCCCGTGGGCACCAGGCAGTGGTGTGAGTGGACAAGCACTGGCAGTGGCCCCCGACGGAAAGCTGCTATTCAGTGGTGGCCACTGGGATGGCAGCCTGAGAGTGACTGCACTGTCCCGTGGCAAGCTGTTGAGCCAGCTCAGCCGCCACCTTGGTATGAACAGCCTTGGAGCTGGAGAGAATGAGGCACGGAGGTGTGGGGCTGGGTTCTGAGGCTGGCCAGGGCAGATGTGACTCCTGTTCTGCCTGTACCCTCCCCTTTCCATGCAGATGTAGTAACCTGCCTTGCACTGGACACCTGTGGCATCTACCTCATCTCAGGCTCCCGGGACACCACATGCATGGTGTGGCGGCTCCTGCATCAGGTGTGCCTGGTGGGCAGCTCTGCGAGGTCCCTGTAGCCCAGACCTACCGCCCATCCGTCCCTCACCGGCCTTCCAGTCCTGCCCTCCTGTCTTTCCCTTCCCTTTGCTACCATGAGCAAGTCAGGGGATCCGTAACTCTCCAGCTCTCTAGGCTTGGACAAAGCCTTCGTTTCCTGAGCCTCAGGAGCCAGTCCTAAGCCAACCCTGGTCTCCCGCAGGGTGGTCTGTCAGTAGGGCTGGCACCAAAGCCTGTGCAGGTCCTGTATGGACATGGGGCTGCCGTGAGCTGTGTGGCCATCAGCACCGAACTTGACATGGCTGTGTCTGGATCTGAGGTGTGTGTATGCATGTGCCCTGGGGAGGGTGAGTTTGCTGGGCAATCCCTCTGGAGCCCAGAGACTCCTGCTCAGGACCCTAAGTTGCCTTCCTGCAGGATGGAACTGTGATCATACATACTGTACGCCGTGGCCAGTTTGTGGCAGCATTACAGCCTCCGGGTGCCACATTCTCTGGACCTGTTTCTTACCTGGCACTGGGGTCTGAAGGCCAGATTGTGGTACAGAGCTCAGCGTGGGAACGTCCTGGGGCCCAGGTATGGGGAAGGAGCACCCAGCAACAACGGAGGGGCAGTTGGGATCCTGTCCTTGCTGACACTCCCTGCTTCCTCCAGGCTACCTACTCCTTGCACCTATATTCGGTCAATGGGAAGTTGCGGGCTTCACTGCCCCTGGCAGAGCGGCCTACAGCCCTGACAGTGACAGAGGACTTTGTGTTGCTGGGCACCGCCCAGTGCGCCCTGCACATCCTCCAGTTAAACACGTAAGCCCCACCATTTATGGGTTCATGGCCCCTGAAGGTGATAGTCACTGGTGTAGGTAGGATAAAGGGGGGATTCCCCCTAGGAACCCACACACCATACATGTTTGTGGGTACATACTTCCAGGTTTGTTACCTGTCCCCTCGTCTTCCCATGGGGAGATCTTGCCCTGGGCCTCCCATTAGCCACAGTTGTAGATTTCTTTGTGTATCAGAGTTTCATTTAGCCATCCTTAAAATGAGGACAGAGAAGGTATATGGGATAAGGGACATCTGCTGGTTGCAAAGCCCCCTCGCAGTTGCAAGTTGGTGTATATCCCTTCTCCCTTCCAGACTGCTCCCGGCCGCGCCTCCCCTGACCATGAAGGTGGCTATCCGCAGCGTGGCCGTGACCAAGGAGCGCAGCCACGTGCTAGTGGGCCTGGAGGACGGCAAGCTCATCGTGGTGGGCGCGGGGCAGCCCTCGGAGGTGAGGATAGAGGCGGCAGTGTGTGGGGGCCCTCGAACGCAGCGCGGCGCGGCGGGCCCAGTTGACCCTGCCCAACCCTTACGCCCCACCAGGTGCGCAGCAGCCAGTTCGCGCGGAGGCTGTGGCGGTCCTCGCGGCGCATCTCCCAGGTGTCCTCGGGAGAGACGGAATACAACCCTACCGAGGCGCGCTGAGCCCGACCCTTCCGGCTGCTAGGGTCCCGCACCCAGCGGGCTTAGCCTGGGAGGCTCCGCCCAGAAGTCGGCGTGAACGCCCCGGGGTGGGCCGCCCAGGGGGTAGGCGGGGCCCAACCCTGCCCAGCTCAGGGATTGGCGGGAGATGTCACTCCCTCAGGGATTGGCGGGCGGAAGTCCCGCCCCTCACCGGCTGAGGGGCCGCCCTGAGAGCCCGCGCTGGCGTCTGCGGCCGCAGTGGCATTTTTTGCACACTCTGGGGCGGGGTTCCCCAGCTTCCAAGTCCCCGTTTCGTCAGAGCACGAGGGCCGCCTGTGGCCTTAATTCCTAACGGCGGCGGCCCCGGTTCTCCCTTCTCGGCAATAAAGCTGGCCTAGTTTTGTAGCTGTTCCGTCTCCGAGTGTGCTTGCGCGCGCGGCGTCTCGGCCCGCCGTGGCCACCGTCCCAGGGTCGCGGTCTCAGTCTGGCCGGGCTAGCGTTCCCCTGGCCCACAGCCCTCTCTGGGCCCATTTGCCCCCTCTGCGTGGCCGCCGCTGAACTAGGACCTCAGTTTCCCCGGCCGTGCAGCCCCTGCCCCGCATCTCGCCCCGGCTCGTGGTTTCCCCACATTCTCAGTCGTTCAGCGGGTCGCGCTCACACGCCATTCGTGCACAGCCCCAACCCGGCCAGGCGCCCCACGCCAGCGAGTGTCTGCATTCCCTCGCGTGGCAGGGCGACACCGCCCGAGGCCAGGCCCCTCTAGCTCGACTCTGCCCCCACTTTGTCCTGCCCACTTCTTGGGCCTGCCTGTGGCGCCGCTGTGGTCTCAGGAGTGTCCTCTCCTGATCAGGAACTGGGTGGAATGCTACCCTGGTGGCTTCAGCGAGGGCATGGGGATGTGGGCCCGGAGGTCCCCTAGTTGATCCAGAAATTCAGAGAGCACCTGAAACCCAAGAAAACAGGGCCAGTCTTACTGGATCCTCGAGGGCTGAATTTGCTGGGACCCACTTCCTGAGGTTTGGGGAAGAGACGCCCCTCACCTCGACTGAGGAGAGAGCTTGCCTAGAGAAGGAATGGAAGAGACCCCTGGAAAGACAGGTTGGGGTCTCCAACTCCCCAACCTGTCTTCCATCCTGAGCTGTACCTGACCCTCTTTGGCAAGCTGGGACCAACTCTGTCACCTCCACCCCATCTGACACAGGAGGAAACTGCTCCAGCCCTAGAATGAATCAGGTTGGAGTGAGCAAATGGGACAGGCCTGGAGAATTTCCCATATTCCTCCTGCACACAGCCCTTTCTGGACTGAGAGAAGCAGCTCCCAGCTCCCCTGTCTCGGCGCTGCCCAAAACTCTCCAACTTTTTCTCCAAAAAATAGTCCCAGGGAGGGTAACCCACTGACAGCCATGCTTCAACAACTCAAGCCACAGCAAAGGCCTGGCCTATGTGGGTAAGCATCCCTTGATCCAGATAATGGATATCGGGCAGGCTGAGAGTGGGTAGGTCACGCCCAAGTCCAGTCACAGGTTCAGGAGTCTCTGCCCCGGGTGCCCTAACTGCACCAGATCAGGACAAGTGGCTTCCAGGCAGAAGAAAGCAACAATGTTTAACTTCCTTTCCAGTTCAGCTTTATTTTGCAAAAATTTACAAGACCTCCTTTGCATAGAAATGCTTATAGGGACCACGTGAATCAGTGTGCCTTGACGGTCCAGACTTGGTGGCAGAGACAGGACACAAGTGCCATGGTAGACAGTGCCATTGTCTCTCTTCCTGTGCCCTGGATAATTGGATAAAAAATCGGATTTAGTGCCATGGTAGACAGAGGTGCAAATGGACCCAAAAAAGGAAGAGATCAAGGAAGGCTTCCCAGAGTAGAAGAGTCTTGTCAATATGACAGATGGAGAAGGGAGATCGGCAGGAGCAGAAGTCTGCAAGGTTATGAGAAGAGGGTGCATCTAGGAAGGACAAGGTGTCTGGAGTGGTAAGCCACGGGAAAGCTGTAGATGAGGATGGAAAAATAGGCCAGACAGTTCCTGATGCTATAAACTTTTGACTCTACATAGCAGGGACTATTGGCTTCAATCCTTTTTGACAAAAGTTTAGGTGAAGCTACCCAGGGACCCTAGCCTTGGTTCCTTGCTCTTAACCTGATCTATCTTTTCTTCCACAGATAAGATCCTGAGGAGGCAGGAGAGAGACAGGGAAGGAGTATGGGTAGGGGCAGGGGGGGCCCTGGCCTCCAATTCCTCCTTCGCTTGCCTCCTGGAGCCTCGAGGGGTCTCAGGCAGCATCATCCCAGTCTACTGTATCCTCCTGGGCACTGTGGTCCTCGGTCTGCTTGCCTACGTGGCCTTCAAGTGGTAGGTGGTCTGGGCACTGCCCTGTGGCACCCCCTTCCCTTTCTGGACTCCAACCAATTCCATCTTGAAGGTGGGAGTAGGCTGACAGATCCCTTGCTCCCCACAGCTGGTGCTCACATAAGCAAAGACAGCAGCTGGCTAAAGCTTGAACTGCAGAGCTGGGAGGGCTCAACAACGACCAGATGCATGGGGATAGCAGTGTCTTCCTGGACTCTCCTAGCAGTCTAGAGTCCTGTGCCTCCAGCCAGGGTGAACCCCCTTCCCAGTCCTTCGTACTAGAAATGCCTCACCACCTAGCCCTTGTGTGATCCTCATGTCTCCTGCCCGAGGACCACATCCTGAGCTTGGCTGCGACTTTATCATCTTCCTCGGTGGCACCAGGATAAAGTGGAGCGGCTGAGGAATGTCAGATGAACCTGACAAGGGCTGGTGGGGACTGGCAGGCTGTCTGGGCCACTGGGCTGAGGCTGCAGAAACCATGGCCCAGGGCCAGGTGCAAGCCTACACTCTGCTGAGGGACTGGGCTATCCAAGAAGGCAGTGGTACCACCCTCAAGGTGCTACAGAATGCCCTGGTTGCCAAGGGCCATGAAGATGTGGTCCAGGTCCTGGGCCCCCCAGCTGAGGGCTGCTCTGTGGTGTGAGTGCTGCCCCCGTAGCCTACCCTGGTGCTCCCCTACCTCTGTCTCAGATACCTTCCCCTTCGTGGGCTTCCTGGGGTTGCTGGCCTCAGCCTGCTCTGTTCTGGGAAAGAACACCGAAGATTAAGCCGCCGTTCACTTCCCCTCACCCACCCATCCCCTCCAGAAGAGGGCAGTGAGGGGTGGTCCTACCCTTTGGATCCCTACTCCACCTCCCCTTATTAAGCCTCGGCTGGATTTGCTACTTTTGTATCCCATATTAAAGGTGATTTGGCTCTATCTGGCTCCTTGGGCCCGTGAGACAGTTGCGTGGGTGGCTGTGAGGCAAGGGCCCAGAAAAGGGCCGGGGGTCCCTAGGCTGTGGGAGGGCCCACTCCAAGCAGCACCTGGGATGGCAGGCAGTGTGCTTCTATAGAAGATGCTTGGGCTCTGGAGGCACAGATCAGAGTTCATATCCTGAGTCTGCCATTTGCTGCTTGTATCATGTTTGGAAGGTATTTTTACCTTGCTGATTATTTTACCTTGGTTATTTTATCAGCTTCCTTAGCTGCAGAACAGTAAGTTTAAGTGAAACATTCAGTAGTTTCCCCCACATCTAAGACTCCCAGGTTGGTGCTGAGGGACCCTGGGTTTGACTTCATTTTCCTGACTTGTTCTGTGAGCACCATCGAGGGGAGGCTGAAGGCCTGTTCCTCTAAACAGGAGGGAAGAAGCAGGCCGATCCTGGGCAGTTAATTACCAAGGGCCTCAGGTCACCTCTAGATGAGAAAAAAGAAAAGGCTTGCCTTACAAGGAGTTCCGAATGTGCTTCCACATCTGCTCATGTGTTTTCTACACACACCAAGGAAAGGTGGGTGTCCTGAGCAGCTCAGGACAGGGCAAGTGCAGCCAAGTTACCTGCACTCCATGCATTTACCCACCCCAAAGGAAGAGGCAGGTAGGATGGCACAATAAGTGACTTTGAAGAAGGTGCTATAGAAGACAAGCCCTGCCTAGGAAGGAATAATGGCTACTATCCTGGCAGCTCCCAGCATAAGGCGGCTTCAGAGGCACAGCCATCCAAACTCACTCTGAAGACATGGGTTCCAGTCATGATCTAGGGGGGCCCAAGGTAGATCCTGGACCTTTGCTGAAATGAGATGCAACTGGGGTTGGCTACTCTGAGTACCAAGCTCATCAGACTGCTGCTACTGCTACCTTCACAAGTAGCTGACAAGGCCTGCTTAACACTAAATCTTTCCCTTAAATGAAGGAAAAGCAGGAAGTTTGTAGCCACCTTACTCCTCAGATGACCTTAGAGCAGTAACCCTGAAGGATCAGGAAAGAAAGCAGGAAAGATATGCACCAGTTGCTGGAGACATCATAACCTAGAGCCTTGGGTCAAAACCATGCATTGGATTTATTTGCAAGCAGCAGCACATATGCTGCACCCCTGCACTGCAACCCATTGAAAAGAGAAATGCCCCCTTTCGACAAGCTGAAGCACATTAACTATTCTCTGTAACAGACATAACTCTAAGACGTTCAGAGGATTGAGCAAATTATGATCTGTGCATGTGATATAATAATGTGCTTTAGGCTGGGCGCGGTGGCTCATGCCTGTAGTCCCAGCACTTTGGGAGGCCGAGGTGAGTGGATCACCTGAGGTCAGGAGTTTGAGACCAGCCTGACCAACATGGTGAAACCCTGTCTCTACTAAAAATACCAAATTAGCCAGGCACGGTGGTTTATGCCTCTAGTCCCAGCTACTCGGGAGGCTGAGGCAGGAGAATTGCTTGAACCCGGGAGGCAGAGGTTGCAGTGAGCCGAGATCATACCACTGCACTCCAGTGCAGGGGCAACAAGAGTGAAAATCCATCTCAGAAAAAAAAATAATATGCTTTACACAGTTTTGAAGGCTGCAGTATGAGAAACAATTCTGGGTATTTGCTAAATAGCATGTCTAAGTTTAAAATAAGAATTTCGTCCCTCTTTTAACAATTCCCTTAATACTAGGATATTAGAAGAGTTACTGAACCTCTCTGACACTTAGTTTCCTCATCATAGTGCCAATTCCTGTGCCTCAGGACTGTGAGCACAACCTGAGCTCTAAGTGCTCAGCACAGTGCCTAGTGGGCAGTGAGTGCTCTAATTGCTACTCACCCTGCCAAAGATTTGGCAGGCCACAACCTGACCTCACCTCCTCCACAAGAACACTGCTGCAGTGGGCAGAATAACCATGGTGAGAAACAGGTGGGACCAACCTCTTTGCAAAAATGGGCCCCAGTCTGGCCTGAAGCCCTCAGCCTTCCTCGCTGCCTAGATAACTAATCCAACAAGTGGGGGAGAGGTCTCCCACCAAGCCCTGCCATCCCGGAAGTGTTCACTGCCATCATAACCTGTGCACTGTACCTCTTCTGTAGGGGTCCTATTCTGTCCTCTAGTGTCCAAGCCCAGTGTAGGGGGCATAATGCGAAGCTGGGGAAAACATCTAATGAGCATTTCAAACCAGGTGTCCAACACTTTGGGAGGCTAAAGCAAGAGGATTGCTTGAGGCCAGGAAGTCAAGACCATCCTGAGTAACATAGCAAGACTCTGTGTCTTCTACAAAAAAATTTAAACCATATTACCTAGTAGTCCTAGCTACTCCAGAGGCAGAAGCAAGAGGCTCACTTGAGCCCAGGAGTTCAGGGATGCAGATGATTGCACCACTGCACTCCAGCCTGGGCAACAGAGTGAGATCCTATCTCCCAAAAAGAAAAAAAGAAAAAAAAAGCATTCCAGTGGGCTCAGAAAAATGAAGTCCATGGAGGGAAAAGATTTCAATGCTTCTCTCCAGGCAGGACAAAGTATCAAGGGAGAAGATAAGTTTGCCTTTCTCTTGACTGATCTATTAACCAAAATAAAGAGGCTTAGTGCCAAAGAGGCCCTAGATTCTACTTCTTTTGCTCTGGAATGCATGTGCAAATTGACCCAATGCCTGAGCACAGCCATAGGATCCCAAGCCTACAAGTGTCAGTCACCTGGCAAATGTCTGTCTCAGTCATAGTAGGATCTATGGGGAATCAACAAATCCTGTAATAAAATCCAGTCACAGGGATTAACCTTGGACTTCACACATCTAAGGCCACGATCTCTCCATTCTCCAGTGACATCATTACACACAAATTATGCTTGATTAACTTTTAGGGAACACACATGCCAAGTTCTTTAATTGATTTTATTTTTTTACATAAAAAGTTCAGTAAAAATTGGATAAAGTAAAGTGATTTTAAGCAGTAAATCAATCTTATCAACATAGCACAAGGCTGGCCAAAACCACAAGGCAGCCTGCTTCGGAATATTTACATGATAACAAATTAAACCTTGTAGGAGAACTTAAACTGTCCTTACAAAGTCTTCCTGTGATCCTAGCATGTAGAGGCTAAAAGCAAAACGAAAACCAAACAAAAACCAGAAAAAAACAAATTATTTTCAATATATTCACATATACATTAAAATATAATACAGATCATCAGGGTAAAGGGTTGTGGGTGGGGATGCGCATGGGTCTGTGCGCTGACAGCACCGCCAAGGAGGAGACCCAGGTTTAAGAGTGGAGTCAGGTCTGGCCAGGGTCTTTTCTAAGCCCTTGCACATGTGATGGCTTCTAACCACACGCCAACAGCTCACAACTAGGAAATCACTTGTATATGGAGTTCATTTTTGTGGCCTTCGGTTGACATCTGCAGGGTTGAATTTCCCAGGGTGATGTGTCATCAGTAGCACAATGCTGACAGGGGTGGGGCAGAAAGGCCCACAGGACTTCCTCTCCCTAGAGTCTGTCTTACCTGACCACCCATCCTCCCGCCCTGGCCCAATAGTCACTCTAATTCAGTGTCCTCTTTGGGTTTGTAAACAGCCCCAAACTTCTGCATGTACTTCTTAATGTACTCCTTGGTTTTGTGTTTCACATTCTCATTGCATTCCAGGTCCTCAGGATTCTTACAGTACTTCAGCTCCTTATTCATAACACCGTGAGTCAGCTGTCCAGGGCACAGGAAGAGAGACCACAGCCACCGATCAGAGCAGAAATGATTTGAGGGGGAGGACAGGGGTGGTTATCCAGCCTGCTGCTTCAAGGCCCTTCTCACCAAGACTGGAAGTTCCTAAGGGGGTTGATGTTGGGGCAGGCTGGTGCTAGGATCACCAGAAAGGACAAGCTCAGCTCTGAAAGTTTCTTAGAGAACTATTCCTCTCATGTAAGGTACGCATCCCTCCCCAAACCTTCCCTCCCCATTCCTGGGTCCCCAGCCCTGACATCTGACAAGGAAAAAAAATTTTTTTTCTGTGATGAAAAGGGCTTCTTAGAAGGTACACAGTTTGCCCAGAATGTTTCCTGGCAGACCACCAAAAGCAGGGGGAGTACCTTGCGAGCCAGATGTTTAAAGTCTTCAGTTGTGGTAATTCTTCCCACTTTGCAGTCAGGTTTCCGGTAAGGGTTCAGGCACTGGACGATGAACTGGGACATCTGCGGGCAGAGAAAAGAGAACACATTTGCTCAACAGTCCAGAGAGGGCGAGGAGTTGTACTGAGGAAATAACTAGAAAAGAGAGTGAGTAAAGCCAGCCAAGTCTTCTCCTTTTCTTCCCTCTTTATTGGTTTGGACAGTGGAATACTAGTTAGCCAGTAAGATCTGAGAAAAGGATACAGGCTCAGCCTGAGAGGAAAAGAGCTTCCCTGGATGGACTAAGCAAGCCTTAAAGGAGCTGGAGGAACTCAACAGCAGGACTTCAATGCTGAGTCTTTCAGCAGTCCCAAGTTTCAGCCAATGAATTTTGTGTCCTCAGCATAAAGATAGTGGCTGGGTTCTCTGAGCCCTGGAGGCAAGGCAAAGCACGGCAAGTGTTCCAGAGCTACTATGAGGCTTAGCAACCCAGGAACCACAGTTTTATCATTGAAGGGTACCTAAGATTCTTTAAGTGGCCATACCACAGCCATGTGAAGCAGATGGAAGCATGATATCACAACCAGCAAAGGAAAACCTGGGAAGGATCCTTTTCATCCCACCACTTACAATGTCCTCCCTGGTCTAAGTATGGTCTGTCCTACCCAGGTACTCCCAAACACTCTAGGAATAGGACTCTTGGAGATATTTGTGGTGCTAAGATCACAGGGGACAAAAGGAATAAAGAGGCCAGTCATAGCCATTTGATCAGAGGACACTTTGAACAGGGTCTACCCATCACTAAAATTCAGTGAGCCTTCAGATGTTCAAAGAACAAGGCTGTATCACATGATAGGCACTCAAT